CCCCCGCAGCTGATGAATGGTTCCTTCCCGGCCTTCTTGCCTCCCCCCCCCGCTCCTTCCGCCTCGATGGGCTGCACCGAAGCCCCGCACATGCGTGCTGCGCCAGGAGCGGGGCGCTGCCGGAACGATGAGCGCGGAGCAGTTGCGGCTGGTGCGGGAGCGCGTGCGGGACTTCCCGGACTTCCCCGCGCGGGGGGTCCTGTTCCGGTGAGCGGGGCTAGTTGGGGCGGGTGCCCTCTGTGCATGCTCAGAGGGGCTCTTCATGGCACGTTCCCTGGGCGCGCCCGTCGTGGGGCCGAAGGTTGGCCGTCCCAGGAGGAGAGAGAGCAGCGGCGGGGCGGTTCTCCTTGCGTGTTGGCTTGGCGCTCCCCGCGGGCTCCGTCCGGGCCCCGCGCTCTTTTTCTCCTGGCCCCGAGTGAGGCTGCACGAGGCTCCTCGACTCGTGCAAAACCCACCATGGAGCGTCCCGCGTCCTCCAGCCTTAGCAGGAGCCCTGCAAGGGAGACCAAGCCAGCCGTCTTTCCCCCGTGGTCCGGAACAGGGGCTGGGAAGGGCCCGGTGGAGCATCTAGGAAGCAGGGGAGGGACGTGAGCTTTGAACCCAGGACTTTCGACCCGGTGCTCTCCGCCATTACCCTGAGCAGCTCTTCTCGGGATGGGCAGTCCGGCATTCCTTTCTTTGACCTCCCGTGGAAACCTGCAAACGCTGGCAACCAAAGCTCCCTCTAAGCTGTGGAGTCCTGTGAGCAAAAATTCTACTTTGTGAGCTACTGGCATTCAAGTTGTGAGCGAGAGATTTGGCTGCTGCATCAATTAGTTTGCTCTGGAGCCCTCCTTCCTGAGCGAAGACAAAAATGTGTGAGCCGGAGGCTAAAAATATGTGAGCTAGCTCACACTAACTCAGCTTAGAGGGAACATTGCCTGTGAGCAAGACTCCTACTTTGTGAGCCACTGGCATTAAAGTCGTGAGCGAGCCATTTGGCGCCTGCATCAATTAGTTCGCTCTGGAGCCCTCCTTCCTGAGCTAAGACCAAAATGTGTGAGCTGAAGGCCAAAAAACTGTGAGCTAGCTCACACTCACTCAGCTTAGAGGGAACACTGGTGATAATGCTCCCTCTAAGCTGTGAAGTCTTGTGAGCAAAAATCCTACTTTGTGAGCTACTGGCATTAAAGCTGTGAGTGAGCGATTTGGCTGCTGCATCAATCAGTTTGCTCTGGAGCCCTCCTTCCTGAGCGAAGACAAAAAGGTGTGAGCCGGAGGCTAAAAAACCCTGTGAGTGAGCTAGCTCACACTAACTCAGCTTAGAGGGAACACTAGTCATGACTACGTAACCTAGCCTACCTCGCAGAGCTGTTGTAAGATCAGGGGGATATGCACACTCCCCATAACTACAGGGAAGGACAGGAGCCAGAGGTGGGGAGCGTGGGTGCGGTTCTGCTCCACAAATGTGGCTTTCGCCGGGGTGATTCTCTGCGGGATTTGCCCTGTGTGCAGATCGAACCTTGCTGCAGTTCTCCCGCAGAGCAACAGGACATTGCAGCAGGTGTGAAAAGAAGCGCTCCTCTGCCTGCAGGACTCAAGAACTCCCACCCACCACGGGGGGCCTCTCTCTCTCTCTCATCCAGAGATATCACCCCACTGCTGAAGGACCCAGAGGCCTTCAGGGCGGCCATCGATCTCCTGGAAGCTCATGTGAAGGACAAGCACCGCCGAGTGGATTTCATTGCAGGTGAGGGTTTTTTTTTTCAGATTTCCGGAAATGTTGGCACAAACCCATAAAACAGTGGGCATCTGCACATTAGCCTTGCTGGGATACATACTTGACGTTCCTTGTGGTCTCATGGCTGGGACTGAATTTCTACAAAGCAGACAGGCTGTTATGTATTAAGAGAGCCTCGCCAGCGTTAACCTGGCCATGCGGTCAAACAGACCTTCCGGTCTAGGAACAGTAGACTGGTAGGATCCTAACGCGGACCAATGGGCTCGCGCGGATCCTGGTATGTACCTGTGGGGACTAGATAGTGTAAATAGAGCCTATCACGGGGAGTGGAGGTGTGTTTGGAGTGTGTGTGTGCACGGATAAAAAGCTGGTCACCGACTGGCTAGTTCGTCTTCTAATTTCCAGTGCGTTAATAAACTATAAGGAGCTGCGGTGGCTCAAGTGGTTAAGACGCTGAACTGCAGGCTGTGGAAGGTCGGTAGTTCAGTTCGAGACCCGAGTGTGCCACAAGACGGAGGGAGCTCCCGTCTCTAGTTCCAGCTCCTGCCAACCTAGCAGTTCGAAAGCAAGGAATTGCAAGTAGATAAATAGGTACCACTTAGGTGGGAAGGTAACGGCGTTCCGTGCACCTTGTTGTGTAGTCATGCCGGCCACATAGCCACGGAAAAGTCTTCGGACAGCGCTGGCTCTCTTCGGCTTAGAAACGGAGATGAGTACCGCAACCCTAGAGTCAGATTTGACTGGCTTTCAAGCAAGGGAACCTTTACCTAATAAACTATGAGCTGATCACTATGTCACATGTCCGAACTCAGTACTTTTCACAGGCTCTCCAGCCGGCCTGGGAATCCTGCAACCTTACATACAGGCCCTGATCCCAGTGGGCAGGAGCAGGTTGCAGCCCCTCTGTGCATGTTCAGAGGCACTCTTCTTGCTTAATATAACCTCTTATACAGAAAAATACAATTATAAAATACATACGTTCCACTATAGGTTTCTTCCATTTGGGCGAAATACCAAAATCTGAATATACTATGATTAAACTCTTATGAAGGCACAGTGACAGCTGTCAATATATGTAAAAGGAGATGTCAGAAATCTCATTCATTTTTCCCTTGTGCTACATCTGTAAACCACCTATGGGGGGGGGGAGGCAGAGAGTTTTGGACAGCAGGACCTAGCTCATCAGACAAGAGAGATGGGTTCTCAGCTGGCAGGTATGGGTGTGTGGCTGTGGAGGAAATGTGAATGGGATGCACAAAATCCAGCACGGGATATTACTGCAAAAGATTCAGAGGTCATCAAAATAAGCACAGTGGCCATTTGCAACAGCAGCAGTCGATGGCAGCAGAACCCCAAATCCTGTACCTTGAAAACATTGAGACAGTTTTGGGTCGTGGTTAAGTGCGCGGACTCTAATCTGGGAGAACCGGGTTTGATTCCCCACTCCTCCGCTTGCACCTGCTGGATGACCTTGGGCAAGCCATAGTTCTGACAAGATGGTGCAAAACAAAGAGAGAGATCACGGGATGGACGTTTGGAAAGAAGTAAACAACCGTGATGAGCAGTTTCTGTCAGAGTTCTCTCAGCCCCACCTACCTCACAGAGTGTCTGTTGTGGGGAGGGAACGGAGATTCGAAGCCTTTGTAGATGCAGTTAGGATGCAATAGGATGGAATGTGTAAGTTGCGAGGACGCCAACAGCGAAGGTTGTGAGATGAGTGTTCCCAAAACAATTAGTTCTTTCGTTGGACAGAAAATCTGGTACCAGGAAACCTGCCAAGAATGTAGCAGAACCCCAAATCCTGTACGTTGTTTTTACTTATTGAAAACACTGAGCCAGTTTGGTGTCCTGGTTAAGTGCTTGGACAGAAAATCTGGTACCAGGAAACCTGCCAAGAATTCAGCTTAATGTGGTTCTGAAGACCAGATAAGCAAATACAATCACTGACATACATGACCAGGAAAGACCAGTAGTAAAGTTTAGAGTCAAATGATGCTTCCATGATGTCAACTGCTTGGTACCAATTAGAGATTCTTGAATGTGTAAATCACATGTGATGTCACTTGGGGTATAAGACCCTCAGCCCTGTATCTCCTGTTTTAATTGCAATAAACAGGTACTCCGCTAACTCGTTGGACTCGGTGTGATTCCAGTCCGGCCAGGGGGTCACACGGGGGACAGATTTGTGCATCACAGATGACAGAGGGCCCCGTTTATGCTCTGCTGCAGCAGGTGCACATAGAGTAGTTTTGCCAGTGTTCACTTGAGGCTCAAGGAAACGGCATTTGCACTGCTTTGTGTCAGTCCTGAACAGCGCTGCGAACCACAGACATGGTGTCAGATCTGGCTGTGGGTGTTGCACGACTTGACCTTCTCCCTGACATGGGAGTTCTCCACCAGGAGGGGTTTTCCTGTCATCTGGGGGAGCACCCCCCACCCCTGGTGACCAAGGCTCCCCACCAGTTAGCGGAGAGAGCCAGCCATGTACGCGGCCCCTTCTTAACTCTGCTTCCCCTTCTTGCAGGCCTGGATTCGCGAGGCTTCCTCTTTGGACCCGTCCTGGCTCAGCGACTGGGAGTCGGGTTTGTGATGATCCGTAAGAAGGGGAAGCTCCCGGGCCGTACAGAGTCCGTCTCCTACACTCTCGAATATGGCCAGGTAATGGGTTTGCTGAGCCGGCTTGCGGCAGGGCTGGGACCTAGCTGCTTGAGGAGCACCATTAAGCAAGTCTTCTTTGCCGCCCTGCAGGCAGAGCTCGAAGTTCAGAGCGACACCGTGGAGCCGGGCCAGAAAGTGATCTTAATCGACGACTTGCTGGCCACAGGAGGTGAGGATGGCCAGCCGGCTGTGCCCGTCTGGTGCTTTTATGACTCTGTGTCCGTATCTTGCTCTTGAGAGGTTCGGCTTTCTTTGATTTCTGTCAACCATTTCCAGGCTTTTGTGGTGACAAGGCTGCAGGTGTGGGGGCAGCAGGGGGCGGAATCCCCCCAAGGAGCAAACAAGCTGCAAACAGCCCGCACAGCTCAAGAAACGGCCCCTTCCTTCGGCTTCTTGGTGGTAGTCATCCCTTCGGGCAATGTTCCCTCTAAGCTGTGGAGTCTTGTGAGCAAAAATTCTACTTTGTGACCTACTGGCATTCAAGTTGTGTGAGGATGGCCAGCCGGCTGTGCCCGTCTGGTGCTTTTATGACTCTGTGTCCGTATCTTGCTCTTGAGAGGTTCGGCTTTCTTTGATTTCTGTCAACCATTTCCAGGCTTTTGTGGTGACAAGGCTGCAGGTGTGGGGGCAGCAGGGGGCAGCAGGGGGCGGAATCCTCCCAAGGAGCAAACAAGCTGCAAACACCCCGCACAGCTCAAGAAACGGCCCCTCCCTTCGGCTTCTTGGCGGTAGTCATCCCTTCAGGCAATGCTCCCTCTAAGCTGTGTCTGAGACAGGAAATTTAATTTGTGACCGCATCCATTAAGTAATGGCTCCATAATTTCTTAAACCACACCTCAATACTGGGTGCTTTATTCTTCTTCCAGTATGATGCAATCGCAGTTTTTGCTGCATCCAACATGACTTCCACCAACATGACTTTCTTTATGTGGTCTAGATGACAGATCTAAATTTAAAAAAAAAAGTATGTTCTCATAACACCTAATTCTGCATGGCCGATACATGGGGCTCATCAGCAACAGCAGCAGCCTGCCAGGAATGGTTTTTCCGGTGCTGCAGCTGCCCGACCCCGCTCTCTCTTCTCTTGCCCAGGAACTATGCGAGCGGCCTGTGAACTGATGTCCAAGCTGAAGGCCGAGATCCTGGACTGCGTGGTGCTCATAGAGTTAAAGTTTCTCAAGGGGGCCGACCTGCTCAAGCCCTTCCCGCTGTATTCAGTGCTGCAGTACGACTGAGGAGCCCCCTCAGCGCTGCAGCTGCCGGCAAGGTTTTGGGAGACTCTCTTGCCCTGTCTTCAAGCATCTTTCCGGCTCTGCATGGCGTTGTGTATGCCAATACGCAGGCAAGCGAGCCTCCATCTGGCTGTGCTGAGATTTATTGGCTCTGACGGTAGCTGGGCCCAGCAGCACCCAAGTTCTTTCTGGGACCAAAGCAAACCTAGAATTCCGAGCTGCCCCTTTTTGTTGGGGCGGACCAGAGAATCTGGGAGGTCCATCAGCCTGTCTTGCAGTTTAGACCTTAGACTGAGACTGGTGAGAGCCAGTTTGGTGTAGAGGTTAAGTGCGCGGACTCTAATCTGGGAGAACCGGGTTTGATTCCCCACTCCTCCACTTGCACCTGCTGATGTGACCTTGGGTCAGTCACAGCTGCCCTTGGAAAAGAGCAGTTTGTGTCAGAGCTCTCTCAGCCCCACCTGCCTCACAGGGTGTCTGTTGTGGGGAGGGGAAGGGAAAGGAGTTTGTAAGCCGCTCTGAGACACCTTTGGGTAGTGAAGGGCGGGGCATAAATCCAATCTCTTCTTCTTCTCTTCTAAGACAAAAAGTCTGCTTTGATTTGGTGCCCTGCTCACAGACAGCCCCCCCCCCCTATTTTGCAACTTAAGCCGTTGCCTTAATTACAGTGTCCCAAGGTGGGGATTCCTCCCCTGGACACCATCAGCGGCCCTCTGAGAGGTAAACAGAGACATCTGATTTCATAAATTGGCTTGAGGGCTGTGGCTAGAAGTGGGTACTGGCAGATCACACCCACGGCCCTTGCAGGGAAAGGGGCGGAGGCCACTATTGGCTGCAGTGTCTCAGAGCTGGGGGGAAAGGGAGCCATCTTCGAAACAGGACAGCCCCGTTCCCCCTTTAGTATCCGCAGTGCCATTTTTTAATCCCGCAGGCTTAATTCACACATCACCGTTCCCATCTCCATTTGCACTGGACCCTGCAGAGCTGCTGCAGACACACCTCAGCAGAAGACTAAATGACTTCCTTTTACACGGATATTTTCCATCTACCCGAGAGGCATCCAGGGGCCACCACAGACTGGCCAGGGTTTTTTTTTACTGCCAGCCCAAAGGCTACACCAAAAGGAAGAGAATGTTTCATCGTACTGATAAATGTGTATGTGCTGCTTCCCCCCCTGCAGATAGAATACATCGAGCAGACTTTTGAAGCACCTGGCTGGCTTTCTTTTTTGCTTCCTGGGGGCAAGTCCCCACTTTGAGAAAGAGCTTCCCGCTGTGATGTGTCTACACGTTAACTCTGGCAGCAGCTTAAAGCGACGGGTGCTGTGCGGATGAATGGAGGGGGCCTTGGCCTTCATGCACTTCCGCTCCCCCCTTCGAAAGGCAGAGACATTCAGCTACTTATTCTTTAGTTTTAAAAAATACACAGAATATCTCGTGCTCTGATTATTTTAAATTCTGGTAGATGCTGAAACATCATCCCAACTTCTCCGTTTGGTGTCGTGGTTAAGTGCGCGGACTGCAATCTGGGAGAACTGGGTTTGATTCCCCACTCCTCCCCTTGCACTTGCTGGATGACCTTGGGCAAACCGTAGCTCTGATAAGAGCTGTTCTTGAAAAAGAGCAGTTTCCATCAAGCGCTCTCTCAGCCCCACCTCCCTCCCAGGGTGTCTGTTGTGGGGAGGGGAAGGGGGTTTGTAAGCCGCTCTGAGACACCTTTGGGTAGTGAAGGGCAGAAATCCAGTCTCCTCTTCTTCTTCCCTGTATTGGATTGTTTTTAGAAGGTTTTATGATAGTTTTAATTCTTTGCAAGCCGCCCTGAGCCTCCTTCGGCAGGGAGGGTGGGGTCTAAATGTGATAAATAAATTAACTAATCTATCAGAGAGAGCAGGGTGAATTTGAGCTTTTGGCCATTCAGAAAGAATATCCCCCCACCCACCCACTTCAAAAGCCTTGTATGCAAGCGCTGACTCCAGCAATAGCTAGAGAGGCACCCGTGACTTTCAGGAGGATTTAAACTAGCTGCTGCTGGAAGTCGCAACGTACGTTGTCCTGCTTGCTATTCTTGTGCAGGTTGACTAAGATGTCTTGCCCCCAGCAGAGAGAAATAAGAACTCGCCTAGTAGGGCTGTCCCAAGGGGGGGGGGGGCTCTTTTAGCTCCTGCTACCCGGTTAAAGTTTGTAAAGTTTAATACTAAAGTTTGTAAAGTTTTAGTTCCAAAAAGCCGAAACAGTTGGGGGGGAAGGGAACTTTTTACTCTTAAGTAGCAAACATTTTAAAAACAAACTGTTTCTAGGTTCCCCCAGTGGAAAGAGGAGCCCAGCCATCTCCTCGGGCTTGGTCAATGGAAACCATTGCATCATGAGGACGATTCTCTAGTCTTACTCCAAGCTTGCAAGGGAGTGAAGTTTGGCAGCTACTGCAAGCCGTCCTTTTTATAGTTTAGGGGAAAGGCTGCCTCCTCCAGTGGTCAAGGCCATGCGGAAGCAAGCAAATCCACTGAGTGCCTTCCCTGGCTTTGAAACTTGGCACACAGGAGTAATATGGGGGGAGGCTAAAACTCTTGCAGCAGCATCTTCTGCAGGGGAGGTGGATATGACCAAGCGAAACAGAGGCCACTGCCTGGGACTCCTCTGTAGAAGTCCTTGCCCAGGCAGAATTCCCGGTGTCCCTGTGAGCATCTCTGGTCAGCAGCACGGGGGTCACGGCTGCTTCTCTTCCTTGACCCGGGCAGTCAGGCGCTCCGTGATGACGTTGAGGTCTCGACTTTTGTCCAGCTTGACGTAGGTCTCAGTCCGAACGGGGAGGACGCTCACCCAGTCCGGCAGCAGCTCCGAGAAGAGGCGGAGGTGTTTTTCCATCTCTCCTGCGAGGACAAAGATTCCCACTTGAGCGGGGCCTGCCGCGTCACCCAACCCAAGAGCAACCATTTCAGCTCGGCTAAGGCAAGACACCAGTGAACCCCACGCCTTGGCAAGAGGGGGGGGCGTCTTTAACAGCATCCCACTCAGGAAAATTCAGGTGCTAGAGGAGCACAGTGGGTTGTTGCAGAGAGAAAGACGGAAAAGAGAAGAACGGGGTGGAGCAACTCTTAGGAAGAGCTGCAAGAATGTGGGCTCCACACCCACAGCAAGTGGCTGTTATCAGAGCAGACGCAGCTCCCCTTTCTGGGCAGGCATTCTGTCGGATAAGAGCAGCACCCTTTTCTCCCCCCCCCCAGGTCCCTCCCCCTTACCAGGCATCAGGAGGCCCCGGTAGCTCTCGGTCATCCGCTGGCAGGCTACCTCCATGGTGAGAGCCTGCTTCTTCTCGGCCACAAACACGTTGCGCAGGATCCGCGCCATCTCGGGCAGGCGGGCCAGCCTCTCAAGCCGCCGCTCTTGCAGAGGGTCCCGCGTCATCAGGGCCTGCAGCTTCTGCGCTTCCTTGGCTCTGACCTGGGGAGGGCCCGGCGGGGAGGCAGCGTGAGGGGGCCGGCCAACTCCCAGTCTCCTCCCACGCTCCAGGAGGGGGCAAACATCCCCGCAGGTGGTGTTTCTGCCCCGTTTCTCCTGGGGCGCCTCGGAACTTTCAAGGGCCCTTCTTTGCCAAGAGAATGCCCACAAGCCACAGGGGAGGCCAGCGTCATCAGTGCGGTGCGGAGGACGTTTCTCTGCAATGGCTGGCTTCTGCTTTCAGAAGGGCCCCCCCCCCCAAGGGCTCTAGGGGAGCTCCATCTTCTTGGGATAGCCAAAGACCATCGCACCCCTCTCCAAGGCTCCCTTCTAAGCGGTGGAGTCTGGCGAGCAACAATTCTAATTCGTGAGCAATCAACTGGCATTAAAAGTTGTGAGCGAGCGATTTGGCCACTGCATAAATTAGTTTGCTCTGGAGCCCTCCTTCCTGAGCCAAGACAAAAATGGGTGAGCCGGAGACTAAAAAACTGTGAGCTAGCCCACACTAAGTCAGCTTAGAGGAAACACTGCCAGTTTGGTGTCGTGGTTAAGTGCGAGGACTCTAATCTGGGAGAACCGGGTTTGATTCCCCACTCCTCCACTCGCAGCTGCTGGGTGACCTTGGGCAAGCAGTAGTTCTGATAAGAGCCGTTCTTGAAAAAGAGCAGTTTCTGTCAGAGCTCTCTCAGCCCCACCTCCCTCACAGGGTGTCTGTGGTGGGGAGGGGAAGGGAAAGGAGTTTGTAAGCTGCTCTGAAACTCCTTTGGGTAGTGAAGGGCGGGGTATAAATCCAATCTCTTCTTCCCCCATTTACAGAGCCAGACTGATGGCACTGGAAAACCCCCCCCCCAACACCACTCCCCTGCTGCCCCCTTTAGGCAAGGGCAAGGCACTCACCCGCTCCAACAGGGACTGCGACACCCCTTTCAGGCTGCTGGGGGTGGGGGCTGGAGAAGGCGGGGCGGACCTGGGAGGCTCTGGCACAGAGGGGCTGGCTTCGGCTGTCCTCAGGGCCAGATTGGCCAAGGCCTTCTCCATCTGCAGAAGAATGGTCCAGCAACCAGTCAGTAGGAGCAGAGAGGATTTGCATGCTTATCACACACCCCTCCTTCAGCATCCAGAAGGGAGAGTCACGCAGCCACCGTAGCGCTGCACGGCCTCTCCCTCCAGGGCGCAGCACTATGGTGGCTGCTCATCTCCGAGAGGCAACTGGAGCAGCAGGGCAGACTGCCAAATTACACACCATCCCCCTTAGTTCCATGTTTCCAGCACAGACACCCCAAAGACTGTTTCCCTCAAGAGGAGCTGAGTCAGCCCTGCGGCCGCCAGCCAGCCAGCCAGCTCTTCCTCTGCAGCCGGAATGAAGCCACCCACCCAGCCAGCTCTTCCTCTGCAGCCGGAATCAAGAAGGGTTTGGCGGTAGGGAGGCTGGAGACTGCAAGAAAGAGAGCATCTGCGCATCTGGCAGCCAAAGCCGAACACCCTCACCTTCGGGGTCAGCATGGTGCGCGCCTTCGCCAGCACCTCCTGGGCCGTGGTGAGCTTATCCACCTGGGGGGCCCGAGGGAGCTCCGCCGGCACAATATCGGGCACTTCGTCCACCTTGAACCGAGGGTGCCATCGGGCCAGCTTGTCATCTGGAATCGCCATGGGAGGGTTGAGGGACGCCAGGAAAGCCTGCAGGGAGAGGGAGGGCGTCAGCGCAAGGGCCCCGCCTGTTCCTTGACCGACCGACCGCCCCCGGTCCTCCCTGACCTGCAGCACCAATAAGGGCCGTCACCAATGCTCCCTCTAAGCTGTGGAGTCTTGTCAGCAAAAATCCTACTTGGTGAGCTCCTGGCATTAAAGTTGTGAGCGAGCGATTTGGCTGCTGCATAGATTAGTCTGCTCTGGAGCCCTCCTTCCTGAGCGGAGGCAAAAATGTGTGAGCTGGAGGCTAAAAACTCTGTGAGCTAGCTCACACTAACTCAGCTTAGAGGGAACACTGGCTATCACCAATCTTTACTAGCTCAGCGGGTTAAGTCTAGATGTTCTCAGGAGGTCCCTGAGTGGTGGCAGCCGATTACTAGTATGCTTTCCAGGGAGCCCTTGGTCTAAGGGAGGTCTTCAGCAAGGAAAGACACCTTCCCAGGTTGGAATCCCCGAGTTCGAATTCCCACTCGTGCCGTGGAAGCTTGCTGGGTGACTTGGTGTCAGTCACACACTCTTGGCCTCTCCTGCCTCACAGGGTTGTTGTGAGGATAAGAGTGTTCAACAGGGCAGGAACACTCACCTTGTGATGCTCTTTGACGACGTTAACCAGGTTCCTGTTGAACACTTTCTGGCGCTCCAGCAGATGTGAAGCCGACAGTTTCTCGCCTGAAACCAAGAAGAGGGATTTGTCTCTCTTACCACGCAGCAACCTCCACGAGATCTCAGCTGGCGCCAGGGCACCGTTCACAGCTATGCCCACCTCCCTAACAATCTCT